GGGTGGGTAGGTGTCAAATCTACAGGCTTTATATATATGACCTGAAAAATTCATCAATCATTTTTAGATTTGAAAAGGAAGCAGACACCGTGGAACATTAATGGTTTATTAAAAAAAAAAAAAAAAAGTGAAGGGGAAAAGAGAAGTGGTTTTAAATAGGCTTTGTGGTACTTGGCTATTATGTGCCAAAAAACATCTTTGCTGTGTCTGCTGAGACAAGCAAGAACTGTGGAAAGGCTAAGAGGAACAGAAAGCATTAATATTTTAGAAAACAATGTAAATTACACTAAAATCCTGACATAGCTGAGCAAGAAGCAAACACCAGAAAACAAATAGTATTGTTCAGCTTCTCTATACTCAGAGGGCTAAGAAAGCTTGCTTCTCTTTTTTTTATTATTTTTTTCTTTGCTACGAGGATGCAAAGAACAGACACTGATTCAGGTTGGCACTTCTTTTCATTTATAATGGGCATACAGTTCTTGTAATGGCCAGGCCTACAAAGAGATCATTAAAGAGAGCAGAAGCAGCAGCAAAACTTAAAATTCACAAGGGTGTCTCAACTTGTGGAAGTGCAGCAAAAGCAGCTGTGTTCAACAACTTTGCTCAGCCAGCAACAAATCTTCTGTCAAATCATGGTCCCAAGACAAGGCTTCCTATTCAGTGTGACTTAACCCTACCCCACACACATCAAAATGCTTTTGTCACAACAGGTGTTGGGCTGCCTCTCCGAGTTACTCACGAAACACCTTGGGCTGCATGTTCCCATATCTGCATCAGTCTTTTAAAGAAATGAAAACTATTCAAAGATATTTCATTCAATATAGACTTATCTGACTTCCCCCCTCCCTCCCCCCAGCAAAGAAGCAGGTGAACTGCTTCAGTAACAAGGGCAGAATCCAGCTACACATTCAAACGTGTAAATTCAGATATTTAAATATGTGGTGATAAGGAGTGTGTTGCCCATGCAGTTGTACTATCATTGGAGACTCTCTGGGCCATCTGAGATGAGTGTGACACAGGACACTGTCTCCCCTCTGAACCAGAGCCTGGGCTAAAACTGAGTATTTTTAAAAGCACCAATGTTAAGGTACCTGAAAAGAGCCCCAATACCCTGTCAGCCTGCTCAGAGGCAGTTGTCCGCTGCCTGAACGCTCTTACCTACAGCTATGTAAGATGGTCTGAGTAGTCAGGACACCTTAATGGAGCTGGGAAATTAGACCCTTGAATATCTCCGGGATATTCAATCCTACTGGAGTGGCAGCATGACACCAAAGAGCCTACAGTGGCTAAAGTGGCATTCAAGACTCAATTCAGCTGCCTAAAGAAAGGCACACAGTATAACTTTAGATGTCCCAGATGTCCAGGACCTCCCCCTCAAGCCTGCAGATATGATCCAGAAAGTCCCACCTTTCAGAGCTCACCTTTTCAGAGCTCACCTTTCAGAGTTAGTGACAAGAAGAGGAGGAATAACTAAGAGCATTCAAATGGCACCAGCTGTCTATGTTTATGCAAGGAAATCCCAGCAGATGAAACATAATGAACTAGTCATTTGGCCAAAGGCACATGGGACTCTAACAGCTGTCCCTGCTCCATTGATGAATAAACTCCTGACTAGCTGTGACTGGATCTGGTGGGAGTGGGACTCTGCTAATGCGCAGACATTTCCATTTGAACATCCAAGATTGGGTATGTGTGTAAACCTAAAGATTAATTTTCAGCCTTTCTAATTCTTTTGCTATTATGTCCTAAATGTCAAGGGAATTTAAGTATCCCGCTAACTGTTAGGCAGTGTTAAGGCCATGGGTTTCTTGTGACCTACATCAAGAATTTGTCCCTTACACACCTAAGTGAGGTACGCTTGCCTGGAATGCTTTGGGGATCACCAGATGCTGGGCAGATAAAGCAGGGTGTGTGACAGTTTGACAAAATAACTGAATGGGCTGCCCCATCTGCTGGGAAGGACATCAGATGCACGCTAGTCACTGTGCAAAATACAAACCTTCATGAAGGTTCACACACCACAGCACTCTTTAAATGCATTAAGTCAGTACATTCTTCTTTTATTATTGATGGTAAGACAAAATGAAGTCAAACAAATATCAGTCAAAGAAAGCCAGTGAGCTGTCCTTCAGAGCTATCCTTAGCTTCTCATGGACAGCTGGCAATAAAGAGCTGCTAACCCTTCATAAACAAGGAAAGCAATCCACATAAATATTTAGCAATTTCAGATAACTTGTAGCTACTAACAGCTACGGCCATCGTCATGGACAGGATATGGAGCAAGACAGTCATCCTCTCTGAGCCAGCAGTTCAACTCTAACATTCTCGTTTTTAATCAACTGCACCTTGAAATCTCTGATTTACTACTAGGCTGAGTAATTTATCTACAGCAGCCCTTTCATTTGTAGAGACGTGTGACAGATGGAGATGCTGTTCCTTTGCAGTCCACAGCATCCCTGCCTGCCAAGGTCTCCATCCTACTGCCTCTAGGCAGCTCTGCAGAATTATTTCCTATTCTGTCTTTAGTGATTCATAACACCATGGTCTGCAGTCTTCCATACTGGAGGAAGTAGCTCTGTGTTCTCACTATGGTAAATCCGACTGCCGGAGTCTGGATGGGATCCCCACAGCAATGTTATTTCTCATTATGGTACTAATGAAACAACAGGACATGCAGCTTGAGGCTGGGTGTTTTGGCAGTCATGTTTGGTTTTTAGGTGTTCACATACCCCCAGGATTATTCTCATGTAAGCCTTCAAAGGCCACTGCTGGCAAATGAGTCTCATCTTGCAAAACGAGAACCCATTACGCTAAGACTAAGCCCTTCCTTGGCGCAGCAAAGCATCTGTCGTCTTGTGAACCTCCAGAAGCAATGCAGAGCTTATTTTCCCTTCACCATGACTTCAACAGAGAAAGTCCTTTCATCTCCCTTGCTTTCACACTTATTTTTCAGGAATATTCATTTTTCCAGACCAATAAGAAGAATGCTGTCAACACCAAACTTCAGTGCTGGTAGAGAATTTGGCTCACACAAGTGACAGCGATGTGAAATACTCTCAAAGTGTATTTGGTACCAGGCATCATGGAAGTTTGTCATTAGTAGGCTAGACTGTGCTATCATTACTTACTGTCTCAGCACATATGCACACAAGGAGTCCCACAAACATTAGTAGGACAGCCTGGTATGCAAACTAATTACAAAATAGATCATATAAAGAACATAAACAAAGGGTAGATCTGCACCAAATCCCCTGCAGCCTAAATATGGGACAAAAATAGAAAGACAGACAAGAGAGAAGAGGGAAGCTGCAATACACTATTTTCTCAGGGTGCCATGCCAGCACAGGGAAATAATGTCAACCCTTTTTCAGCCTGGCAGCTGTAAAATGCACAGATAATTTTTAACAGAAATTCAAAGCAGGAAAAAATGTTGCTTTGCAAATTCCTACAAAAAGAGCTTCCTGAGGACAAAGAGCAGCAGGGGACAAAGACTGCATCTTTAACAAAGGGTAATGGAGATTTTTGCTGCAGGATGATTGGAGGCTGCTTTTTGTGGGGGAAAGATGTGCAAAAGCACACTTGCTGCCTGTGAGCAGCCTAAGACTAAATTACTCAAGGTCAGAGAAAGGAATGCTGCTGTAATCAAGAAATTATAAGGTAAGAGACTGAATAAAAGTTTTAGATTTGTGGATGGATAGGAAATGCCATACCTTAAATGTTATGCACAAAGTACGTGAGACATGCAAGCATAAGCCTGGTTTAAAGGAATAATGACCAAATCAAAGAGTGTACAGGAGTTTGGTAAAATTATAATGCTTTTTATGGGCCTAGATGTCATATAGCCTGGAGATGTTGTTCATGGTGGTCTAAAAGAGAGATGCAAGGAAGAATTGGAAATTAAGTGTACTTTTAAACTAGGAAAGCCATAACGCCTCAAGGTAGGCTTCTAAACTGTCTCAGAACAACAAATATGCTATGTACAACAAAGGACTTCATATTTTTTAAGCAGAAAGAAATAAAAACAGCAGAATGCACTGTTAGATGCTTAATTTAGTGTGCAGCCATTCATGTCAGTAGAGGATATGAATATGTGGTGACTTACTGCTGGCTTGCGAACCTTTTCCATAGTTCACACAGTCATTGCTCTTGCTGGGGAGTATATGGAGAGTTAGGAGGTTGAAAAACTTAAATCCTTTCTGCTCCCCATGCAGCTGTGCTACTAAACAGATCCTTTGGAGTCAGTAAAATTTAAAACTATATTTTCAAAACAGTTTTAATAGATCTGTTTAAGAACTGCACATTGGATTTCTTAGCACATCATTTACTGCACAGTGTTTTATTTCTGGAATTGCTGCATCTCAAACCAATCTTTCATTCTGCTGTATAGATACTTGCCTGAGATTATGAACGATGGCTTGACCAACCAGATCAACAATCCAGAAGTAGACGTGGACATCACAAGGCCAGACACCTTTATTCGACAGCAAATCATGGCCTTACGTGTCATGACTAACAAACTGAAGAATGCGTACAATGGGAATGATGTCAACTTCCAGGATACAAGTAAGAAACCATTAACTGTCATTACATAACTGTAATTTTGGAACACATTTATAAATTGGCTCTGTTGCAATGACTTTCTGTGGTCTTTATGCTCTGCGCTGCTGACAACATAAAAAGTCTTTTTCTATTCCATGAAATTCCAGTTATATAATTGTTTCTCTTGCTTCTCTTCCTTATCTTCATGTTTAATGCATCCAGACACTGAAGGCTTTCCATAATGCCAGCAGTCTGATCCTTTTTCAGAAGAGCATTTAATCACCTAATTAAGTCACAGTGGGTTTCATTTGGAAGCTTTACTGAATGAAATTTAGCACCACCAACACTTCCTCATTCCCAATGTGTTCATCCCCCCTGGGGTGCCAGGTGGAAGGGAGAAAAGGAATGAAAGCTGTAACCTATAGCACTCACGCTGTTTCCCTCCCTCCTTTGTGCCAGGTGACGAAACCAGCGGCTCAGGCAGTGGAAGTGGCTGCACAGACGACATCTGTCCCACCGAGTTTGATTTTGTCACCACTGAAGCACCGCCTGTCGACTCGGACAGGAGGGAGGTGGAGGCTTCAGCCACACAGCCTGGCTGGTCACTGCAGACATTGCTCATCATCTTCCTCAGCCTTGTACTGCAGAGACGGTGGAGATAATCCTGGATCTAGTCAGAGAAACTGTGTTTTAGCTACAGAAACAGCCAACTTTCTTCTTTTCTTATACTCTTGGACAATGGACCATGCCACAAACACTTGCAGTTTTCTACGAGACAGCAGTATTGCAACCTGCTTCCCATTTTAGTTTTCCCAAAGAGTACCAGGTGCCAGACTGAACTGCTTCCTGCTTTTTCAGATATCTCTGAAGACAATATCCAATCTTGAGAGAATTCTTTCTCAATCCTTTATTACAGGAAACTTTCTGAGCTTCATTTCCTTTTATGCTGCAAAAGGGAAAAAGGATCTTACAGTAAGTGTTTTTCCCCAGTGAGAAAAAAGACAGGGGAAGAAACCAAGAAAGTTTTCTTTCTGAATCAAGCCTGACTCAAGGCTGCTGCATTTCAACAGAATATCAACAAAACAAAACAAAACAAAAAAAAAAGGACAAGAAAGGAACAAAAAAAAATTGCAACCGTTCTTCACTGACAGCCAGGTTTCCTTTAGAAACTTCTGTAGGATGATTCAGGTCATCAGAATGATCACTGTTGTAGGGAGGAAGGCTGGATTTTTTTTCCCCAACACTAAAAACATATGTCTCAGCAGTGAATGTCTTGCACTCCATCTGACAACCACATCAGATTGGTATGAAGGTAGAGAAGCTGAAAAATAAGTTTATCTTTTAGTATGGTAGTAGCTCCACTAGCTTCAGAATGTCATGTTACAGTTGCTTAGGATTTGAATCTTAATGCCCATTAAATATGAGTAGTAGCACGATTTCACCTAGTTTCTTTTAGGATTTATCCATGTTCTAGAACTGTCACAGTTTTCCAGTTAGCTCACCACTGTGAGCTCACCAGCCATGATGGCAATGTTAAACAACACTCTTGACCCCTCATGGGTTGAGACAGAAAATAATCTCTTGTGATGTAATCTTTTTTCTTTTGTTACTGTTCTGACATCGATTAGAACTTTTTGTTCTATGTCCATTACCCTACCAAGACAGCAATTCTCTAATAGACTAACAGCAACCAGATCAATAGTGTTTCACACCTAACTACATCTTTCATATCAGTTAATTTCAGTGTCACAAGGATTTCTTCTGCAAAATTTCAGATCAAACAGATATATAGTACTGACATGGAGATTTCTTTCACTTTTTTAGTCTTAGTATGATCATCTATTTTTATATATATAAATATATATAAATCACAGATTTTAACTTCTTAATTACAAGCTCAGGGTTGACACTTCTTTATAAGAAAAAAAATGTTTGGTCAACCAGCTCTTCTTTTTTTTGCTGCTCTGAAAAGTAACCCGTTAATGACTGGTGAGCATGAAAATCAAAGAAGAGAATTTTTTACATATCCAGCTGTCCATTTCCTAACAAGTTTGCAGGTTGGTGGAGAAAACCTCTCTCATATGTGTGTATTTGGTGGAGGTGGGGGCGGGGGGGCATGTGAGTTTGTATGATAGGCCTAGAAGAGGACATGGATGTTAATTGTGGTGGTAATTGTACTTCAGATTCTTCAAGGATACATTGCTTTAATAATCATTGTCTAAATCTTTATGGTCTGGAATAGAGTTTCCCTAATTTACATCTGGTTGTAAAACCCAAGATGGAAGCTGTTTAAATCCTGGACAAATGTGTGTCAACAATTAGACATCAAAATCTTCCTTCTTCTAGCAACCACAGATAAAGAATTTTTGGGGCAATTCTGTGTGGTGTTGAACTGATTTGCCATAAATTTATTTCCTGATTCTTACACTGACTATGGAAATGGTATACACAAATTGTGGTAACACTGTAAAGCCAGCCAACCACATTTCAATTTAACAGCCGAGCAGGTAGATCGTATCCATTGCAATCGCTTTTTCTTGACAAATTATAATTAGCTATCGATTTAGGCATGACATTAAAATAGAAAACACACAGCACGTTAGAATAAAGTATACTTAAGCACTTTTACCAAAAAGTATTTACAAACTATTTATATAGTATGTCTAATAACAAAAAGCATAAGTTTTGAGCCACTTGTATTCAATTCCTTTTCTTCCCCATTTGTTTACTTTGAAATATAATTATAGATACCATCATGGAATCATAGAATCACGGAATGGTCTGGGTTGGAAGGGACCTTAAAGATCATCTAGTTCCATCCCCCCTGCCTGGGCAAGGACGCCATTCCCTAGATAAAGTTACTCAGGGCCCCATTCAGCCTGGCCCTGACAGGTGGTCTGTTCTGGGCCCAGATTAGTAAGTCACTGCCTAAGTGTACAGATCACTTGGGCCCTACATGGCCATAGCAATGCTTCCTGCTTTTCCAAAGGTTCCCCCTGGAGCAGGTCTTGATTGAGCATTTACTGTCTGCAGCAAGTTTAAGCCAGTTCTCACAGGCTTTTTCTTTTGCCCTGGTGCAGCAGATATCAAGCAGAAGGTCTTTACATTCAGTTTTTTTTCCTGAACTTGCACATGCAGCTTTCTACAAGGAGAACCTTTAAAAATCTCCCCTGGTCCATCTCTTTTGACCCATCTCCACATCCTCTCTACATCCTCAGCAACTTTGTTTCAGGAGAACTTAAGTTTGATTTTGATTTCTCTGGTTGTGTGTTTCTTTGGTAACTGATTCTATTTCCATCTGATTATCCTGGATCTGAAAGCTTATTGACAGGCAGAAATGTCCAAGCCCTCTGATGCAAGTCCTCTGTTGTACTTGCTCCACACTGCTAGTGAAGGTGGTGACGGACTCACCAGTTTTTTTGTGTTAGCCTTGGCCCACATGTAGGTGATCTGATGACTGTTTTCAGCTAGTGCAGCCAAGGTGTGTGTCCAGGGTGCTCTCATCTATTTGCAGACCTCCATGGACTTTTGGACAAGGAATAAGAGGGATCCCTAAGAACTAGGGGTTCACTGAAGGTGCTCGTCACTGGAGGAGCTTGCTCTGCTCTTCTTGAACTGGATCTTATAAACTGCTGCTCAAACAACACACCAGCTTAATCTTTGCCAAAATGTGATTCCTGAGGGAGTTCTGCCAGAAATTTATGTCTTCCACATTATCATTTCTCCTCTTATTTTCCTACTATGCATGGTGATATTTTGTCAGGAGACAGAGATGCCTTTGTGTGAAGTATTGTGTATACATTTCTTTAATAGTCCCTAAAGGTTGAATACACTCTTCATACATTGCATTTTTCTGAGATTAAGAGAGCTATTAAATCTACAGAGAAAATGAAATTGGGAATGAGGGAGAGAAAAGAAAAAGCATTCATGTTAATAAATGTGAGAATCTACATAATTTCCAGTGATTCTATTTGCACATCCTTTACATCCAATAGCTCTTCTTCTAAGGTAATTTTTGGGTGTGACACAGTTTAAATATTTCTCTTCTGTTAGCAGCAGATAAAGTAAGAAATTATAAAGAAGACAATTACATGTTCAAGAAAAAGGGTCTAAATCCTAAGGAAAAGTCTTTTGATTGTGTAAACCCTCTATGCTGTGCAATCTGGAAGCTCTTCACATGTAATTTCTTTTAAAATGGAGGCTAATAAAAAATTAGATGCAATTAATTACATAATCATTGCTGTAGACCCCTGTGAGGTTTTTGCTTTTCAATATTAACTGATTTCAATATTGCTTTTGCATCATCCCCAAATTTTTCATGTTCATTGTACTGCAGATTTTTCTACTGATGGCTCAGTACATAGTACTGTAAATGCAGTGCAGACTACCTGGACTCTGGCCAAAGTTAGGCATTTCAAAAAAAAAGACAATCAAAAAAAGCTGAAAAAAGAGGATAGAGATTTTCTGGAAAAGAGGAAGAGGAAAGGAAACTGTTCCTTGGCATTCTGGTAAGAGTTGATCAATCCCAGCTCCCTAAGAGGCATCATAGACTTCTGTCCTTGGAAAGCTCTGAAAATCTGAGTCTCAGATGCACAAATCATCCCAGTTCTGTGGGATTTTTAGGAAGAATGATTCCCACAGATGTGTGAACCAGTTTGAGCTGCTTCCATGCAAAATGGCTTTACTGTGCATGTGACTGAGCACTGGCACAGATTGCTCAGAGAGACTGTGGAGTCTCCCTCACTGGAGATATTCAAGAGCCATCTGAGCACAATCCTGTTCCGTGTGCTCTAGGATGACCCTGCTTGAGAAGGGAGGCTGGACCAGATGACCCACTGTGGTCCCTTCCAACCTGACCCATTCTGTGATTCTGTGATTCTATGAGCTGGAGTTGTTCTTGGGAGGTGGACTCTGTGTGCAGTGTCTCAGCAGGCAGCAGCTGCCTTCAGTTTACTAACTGACTCTGAATCATTATCAAATGTAACTATACTTATTCACTGAAACTTTTATTACTTCAACATAAAAAATAAATTACAGCACTGATGCAAGTTGTGTTTTTTGTTTTTAATTTGCTTCTAAAGATAACCCATTAAAACAGAATACAGAAAATTTTAGAATGATTATGCAGGTTTCTATAGATTTCATTATGGATATTAAGAAGAAATCCACATTTCAAAGACCACAAAACTATGTTTACTATATTACCCACAAATGTTCAAACCTGCTAGAGGAGAATGGATATAGTTAACAATAATGGAATGTTATGTAAAATTGAAAAAAGGCATAATTTTAAAGGGAAATTCAGCAGTCAAAGGCTAAGTCTTAGTGTCGGTACTGAGATTATGTTGTCAAAACATAATAGACTCAGCAATGCCTACTTTCAAGAAAAATAGGGCAGGTGATGCGCTGAGCATGGAAATGTTTTCACTACAACTACTCAGCTGGACTGTGAAGATCATATTAATATGTGTAATTATGACCCTTTTTGGATAAAATAGTGATAAAGACCATAGTACCATGGTAATAGGGTATGTGAAGGATAGATGTTATGCTAGTAACAATTCCCTCATCTGTTAAACCGTATAGGAGACTTAATAGAGAATGAAAAACTACGATTTTTAATCTAGAGTTCTAGCATCAGACAAAAGTGATGGTCTCAAATTAATTTAGTCAGAACATTTTGCAACAGTCTATCCTATTCAAATCTGCTGACCAATACAACCAACCAATCACTTGAGGGTAGTTTGCCAACGTAACATGAAGTGTTCACTTACAGTATCTACTTATTTTTTTCTACTAAGCTGAGTATCTAGTTTATGATTCTGACTGTGCATCATATGAGGTCATAAACAGACTTGTGCATTGCACCTGTGTGAAATCCTAGTGCCATGACAAAGCGAATGAGAGCTTTGTCATTAACAAGAATTTTGACTACAATCAGGGAGAAAAAGATAAATCCCTTTCTTTCTGGAAGTTGCTAATATGTGGTTTATTTCTGACTCTTAATAAAACAACAACACTGTCCATAAAAGAAGTGATGTTAGCGTTGTTACCTGCAAGTTTCCATCCAAAGCAGTTGCAGTCTTTCTGCCTGGTTTCCCCACAGCTGAGGTCTCTGGACTGTCCAGGAGTTCAATAAAGTCATATGTGTTTGTCCATAACTTTAAGTCTACACAGTTAAATCTAATAATTTCAAGAAAATGGGTTGTATTTCAGTCAGGCTCTTATTTTGCCTTTATATTTAATTATGTAGCACTGATTATTAACAATATAACACACATGAAAAGGCTTTTGTTTCACACTGGTGAAAAAAAACTTCTTCCTTTTCCTCCTTTATTCTGGCACCAAGAAATCGGTGCGGCTTAATACTTAAATCAATTGGCAGCATCTGGTGTGTGGCTTGTTTATTAAACTCAGAACAGCTGCATTACTAAGAGGAGTTGTCTTTTTCTTGAGAGGGAATAGGGAAAGAGTTTGTCCATTTATCATTAGCAAAAAAGATGTACAGAATGTCAACTATTTATCTTAGGTATAGTGGAGGTCCATCTGTCAGCATTTGTGAAGATGTTTTGAAGTCAAATTTCCAGGGAAGACAAATAAAATTTAATAGTGAGACCCAGCAGATATATATAATTGTGGGGCACTAACAATGAAATCAGGTGAGGGACAGCTGGAGTTCCTCACATCTGTCTAGCTCTTCTTTTCAACCTACTGCCTCTGAGTTTTCAGTGTAGTCTGATTATAACCATCTACTCATGGACATAGCAAAGGCACAAATACTGCTTCACAAGTCAGCAGTGCTTTGGTAGTCTGCTGCAAAATTTCTCTCCCTCTTCTCATTTTCCTGGTATACTGTCTGTATCTTTCAGAGTCTGAGGAAGACCTTACTACCTAAAACAGATTTTTGTGTGTCAATAGTTTTTAAAAAGTGTTATTTAGGCACAGAAGTTGTTCACATGTCTCATGAAAATTACTCAATTTCACTATGTATCTAGAGAGTTTTCTTCTCCAGCCTGAAAATGACACTCAGAGGAGGCTTTGGAAAAAGCTCAAACTCTATTAACCCTCTAAATTTCTTAGAGGTCTTCCATGTTCCACTAAATACCCCAAATACCATGTTACAGGTGGACAGTGCTCCTTCTCATCCCTCCTCTCCTCACTCCTCACCTCAAAGTATCATCCTGGCCTTGAAAATATTTCAAAATAAGTACTTCACCATCTCAGCTAGTACATTAAAAAAAAAAACCAAAAAAAACCCATATCTGTGTTTCCTGATGATAAATAATTCTGACTAATACTTCCTGTGTGCCACATGTCCTATCTGTCTTTGAGTCACCCATGCAGCTATGAAAATTTTCCTCTCCATGCTGAACTGTCTTTTCTGTCATTTTTAGCTCACTGGATTTTCTATCTCCCTTCACCAGATTTCTGTGCCTTTGGTAGAAGCTAACGCTTCTATTTTTCAGACAGGAAGCAGCAACAGGGAGATTTGGTTCACTTTATTTGGGAGGTTTCTATTGGGCTTTATCAAACCCCAACTTTAGCTTTTATTCTCTATTCTAAACATGCTTGTCGGTGTGTATGTTCTCGATTATCTGACATATATCCTGCTGACTCTTTTTTCTATCTATAATTAGTGCTTATAGACTATGTTTTGGGTTATTCATTCAGTTGTGGCAAAATTCTACTTCTTATAACTATAGCCTGAAACTATGGCCTGTTTTGGTGTCTGTTTTGTCTGGTATGCTGATAAGCCAGCAAGGCCAATGCCAAAGAACTTCTGGATTTTCTATAGCAAGTTTAACTGAATGGGCAACAACTTCTGGAAAAAAATCATATTGCTTCTGTAATTGATTATTTTGAGGTCTGGTGTTGGGTATTTTTTATTTCATTTTATTTTATTTTAATGTTGTGTGATTCATTTCATTTACTTCACACATTGGCTACATGTATTGTAATATAACTACAGATAAATTGTTTCAGTCTTTAGATCACACAGAACGTTTTTAAGCAGCTGGTTGATCTTAGGGGGGTTTTTAAGAGCTACAGAATGATGATCAGTCTCAAAAGTTTGCCCAAAGAGTAGTCAGAGAACTTCAGACTTCAGCTTCATGCTATTAGTTGAGTTTGAGACTCCAGGAATATTCTGTAAATTATTTGTGGATATGTGTGTTTACCTGAGGGGGAAGAAAGGAGCATCTGCATCTCTTAAATATTCTGATGCTTTTTTTCAATTTCTGCCTAATCTGAACACAAATCTACAAATGAGGAATTCACATTTAGATGTTCAGGGAAGTCAAACTGAATCAATTGATGGACGTTTATAGACAGACTCCCCCAGGTTACTTTTTTTTTGCTGATGAGCAACATCATTAAATTTCCACTAGAAATTTTGTTACATTTATCAAATTCAAAGAAAGGGTGTTGTTTAAATAGGTCAGATTTCTTGATTTGGGTATCAATTGACATTTATACGTGTTTGTTAAACTTTTATGACTCCAGACATACGAACATTGCTTGAAAGCATGCAAATTTTTAGCTCTGGTTTTTATGCTATATTTCTAGATTAGTTTTTAACATAGCTAAATGTGAATTTATAGGATGATATTTGAATGCAAATCAAGTTTAGAATAAAATTCGTTTTAGACAGAGACGGGGTTGGGTTGAAAAATTATTATTAAACTTTAAACCTGCTTTTCTACTGATCTGGTTCTAACATTTCAGCTTAACTTGGCACAATAATTATCCAAAACCAGTTTCTAGCTCATACCTGAAACTAAATGGTAATTTCAAAATTGAGGGTTTCCAATCAAAATTAAAGTTAGAGAAAAATCCAAGTTCCCCCATCTCCAAGCACTACTTACAAAGATAGAATATTTAGCATATGGCAGTGTGTGTGTGTGAATATATATATAGCAGTATATCAAGGCAGAGTTTGAACTTTTAAAGGGAAGATTCTTTATGGCTTTGTAACTTCAGAGAAATATTGTACCACAGAAATAGACAGAAATAGAAAAATATATACAATCGTTTTGATACATTTGTGAAATAGGTTTCGCAGAACTTGATATTTTTTTGTGCAAAATGCCTTAAATCACTTTATGTAGGGCTAATGCAATTGAATTTATTTCTGTATATAGCCTTTTATAGTAAATACTTCGGATGCAACACTAGACTTTTCTTTCCACTGCAATCATATACAGCCTTATGATTACTAACTATAACAGAGAGACAATGAAAGCTCTGCTTTATTAGCTGTGAATCCACTTGTAGACTGAGAGCTTGGAAGCAAGAAGTGGTGACAGTGCCAAGAGCACTGAGACCTTCCTGATGGGCAATGCCTACACTCTCTTAGTCCTTTTCAACTCCTTTTCCTGTCATGCCATCTGTCTTCATGAAAATGGGCTGTGACTTAGGACCTCAGATCGTCCCACCAAGCACTTCAGGGAGCACACTGTCTTTGTAGATCTCTACATTCAGTCAGCAGAGATGGGCACCTCCATACCTGGGAAGGGGCTTACCTCCCTTCTCAGCACAGGCTGTCTGGGATGACAAGGTTTGTCATGTAGAAATCTCACTTAAGTGCCTGGAAGTAGATGCCAATAGTGAGACAAGAGGTCCAAACTTCACCCAGACTCTCTCCTGTGCTTTTTTTTTTTTTTTTTTTTTTTTGTTGGCCCAATGTTGCCTCTTCACACCAGGGCTGGAGTGAGGAGCCTGGAGAGGAATTCCACCTGGAGAAGTCACAGTAGAATGACTTTGTTTCTGGGCCACACCAGCCCTGGTGTAACCAGAGGTAAAACCAACATGCATTTGTTGTTCTGAATGCTGCCTGATGCTGCTGTGTTTGAGTTCTTACTTTTAAGACATTGGAACCAGTCAAATATACTCGTTTCAAGCAGGAAAGGAGACTGCCTTCAATGCACATATGCACAAGGGATGGAGCTCAAACAGGTCTTTTCTGAAATCCCAGATGTCTTTAAAAGCAGTGCACAGGGCTAAAGCCAGCTCAGACAGTTTGCAAGGATTATGATGCACATGGCCAAAGGACAGAAAGCAAATTAATGCAGTGCCTCAAAGAGTGAGGAACTGTGATAAAGATACCCTTTGGGTTTAATCATTAATGCACTTAGTTGTTCATCAGACTCAGCCCTTACTGCATCAGTGAAAGGAAAATACATGCCTAAGAGGTTGGTGAAGAGAAAGCAAGGTTAATACCTACAGGTTAATGCTGACAAACCACTAACACACCTCTGAAAAAATAGCTGAGTGGTATGACAGAAATAGCTCATTAAAAACTGAACAATAATTAAGCACAGCTTCATCTGTATCCCACTCCATCTCTTGAGACTCCATAACGATGAAATTCATTCCCCACAATACTTCTTGGGAGCTTGGTACTTGAAATGTGGCAGAAACCAAAAGCCCTAGCTGTGAGTCACCCATTTCAGTCCAGTATTCTAGGCCTCCTGCTTTTCCACTTAGTTTTCCTTTTGCATTTCTGAGAATGGCATATGCACACGGTGCATGTGAGGATGCATCTCTCTCCCTGCATGCACATACAAGCATACATGTATCTCCACAAACGCAACCACAGACCAGTATATTTCAAGCACATATGCTGTAAGAAAATATTGGAAAGGCTCAATTTACCACAATATTGACCTAATGAGAAAAATCCCAGACAGGAACTTGTGCTTTAAATATGTTTATACCTTGTGTCTCTAAAAGTGCTATTGAAATTTTCTGAAATAACTGGAAAAGAGTGAGCCTGCAGAACTTAATTTGGCAACATCTGCTGCTATTAGTAAGGAACGCATAAAACCCACAACCTTCCAGATAAAAACAGCAACCTAGATGATATTTTGGAGCTTTACTGATACAAATTCCTTGGTTTCTATTTGCACACAAAAAAAAACTGCTGTAGAAGCTCACCAAGCTTTTTGGAACCCCTACTTCCTTCCTTTCAGGCTACAATAATTTTTAGATGATGACTTTTCTACATTTAAGTATGTTCATTAAAAACAAGTTGGGTAAAATACTGGTGATCAAAACCATCATCATACTTGCTGGGGTTTTTTAAAAAAGTGAATTCATAATGCATGGAAAGTGGCTCTTACTTTTAATGATATCATCTGGCCCCCCTTAACTGAATTACAGTTTTATAATCACACTGCCACTGTCCATCACTCAAGAATGACATGACACAATACCCAAGGGATTACCCCTGAAGCAATTGGGTCTTTTTCATTTCTTTCTTCTCCACACACTTTCCTCCAGGAAGTTTTGATTAGTAGAAATGCATTCAGATTTCCCTGTGGATAAAAAGAAGGGAAGTGTTTGACATTTTCCAGGCAATCTCAGACGGTACTGCTCAGCCCATTGCTTTTTCATTTCCCCCTGAGCTTTTGCTAAGTCCAGTGCACAACAGCTAATGTGGTTTTCACAAAACAATGATCAGTAATGTAAATACCATTTCTTCCCTCAAGATTTATAATGAATTCTGTGTTTCTTAAGCTTGTTTCTCTCATCTATTTTCATGTTAAAAATGATATTTGGAAATCACAGAACAGTTAAAACATAAAGCATTGTGTTTCTGTTCATTAGTAAGAAAAGTTTGACTGCAGGGATATTTTGTTGGCAGGGTTGTATTAACGGTCATTTACATGCATATATATGTATATATGTATGTAGAGCTGCACCTGCTTCTTTCATATACCTTAAAATTACTACCAGATAATGAATGTCCTCCTATTAAACTCATTTTTTGTATTGCATCTTCCTGAAATATAGACATTAGAAGACCTTGCTGCTCAGCCAAGGCAATTTTGCCTGGTGCAATATTATGTTAGTAGACAAAGGCACTTGAAAAAGCCATACATTTTATTTTCTAAATCAATACTTCTTTTGCTGCCTACTGAAAAATCCTTTTTTAGTGCTTACAACACATCTGAGAGCTAGAATAGGATTGTAATATTCAGTAACAGACTGAAAAAATAACTAGCATTCTTAAAGATTCATTTTATTTGCCCTGCCTTTTGCCTGCAAATGTTATACACGTAATGCTTTTCAGACAGATTGTACCTTGTTAGTTGCCCTGCTTCATAGTATACATATATTAATGAATATGTATTTCCATTGGCGACAGTGTAAGGCAAGTTATTTCTCTCATAGTGTTATTCTGCTGTTTATACATGTGCATATTTTAAATTTGCAATGGCTTGTTGGAAAGACTAATTGATTGTCACTGACTACTAGCCAGAGTTTTCTTTTGTTAAGACACCATTACATAAAATTCTGATCATTACATGAGAGTTCATTTTTGATTGTTAGATCTAAATTATATTCCTTTCAAAATCACAGCAAACTCCTTATCTGTGAATCTCCACAAAAACATTGCATTAAAAAATGTCAGAAAACACAGTTTTTCCAATTGTCTTCTTTATACAAAATAAATAGATTTTCTGAGTTAAACAAGACCTTTATATGAATCTTGCCGTAATTGGCAAAGCATTAGAATATAGAGCCCACAATTCACTAACTCTCTGTGCAGAGAGAGCAATAGCTCATCTAAAAAATACCAGATTGCTCGTCAGGGAAGTCGTATTGATGCAAACACACAAAGTCACTTGCAGACCATCTACTATAGGTATCCTGTTGCAGCAACCACTGTGGGATGTAACATTGAGAAAGCAAAGAGAGAGCCAAACTCTCTGCTTCCCATTGCCATGAGATTCCAACTGTCTATACAATCAACAGACAGGAACAGGGAAATGTGTATTCATTCTTTCCACTGGCTGTAGCTACATGTACAGTATGTTGCTCTGACTTCTCTCTATTGACAGTAGAGTATTCTTGCTCTGGCATCGTGGCATGACAAGCTCCATGAACGATTCTTTACCATCTTCAGTTTAGAAACCCTTAAGTACATGCACAATGCCATAGTAGGTGGTTTGCACTCAGCCCATTAATCCAAGTATTAGAGATAGGTGATCAGAAGCAGTTATTTTTGGTAGGGTAACTAAGTGTATGGATTAAGATTTCCCAAAGTAACTCATTTAAATTCAAAGTTTAGAAGTGTTCTAGCAACCTGGACAATGTAATTTATGCTGTGTGAGGACTATGCAATGGAGGATCAGAAACACCTTCCCCAGCCTCTCTGGTCCTCCTCCCAGTGAAGCTAGTGAGAGTTTGCCATTGGCTCCAGTACCAGGAATAGCACATCTAACAAGTTTGATACTAACCATTTAAATCTGTGTTTATATCCTCGCTGTCTATCTCTCAACACTGGTGACAAATACTAGTTCATAATTACAACAGAAGTAAAGTGTGGGACTATCTTTTACACTGTTACTTAATATTCAGTACTGTATGTATATATCTACTTGACACCTCAGTGAAGACTTTGACATGCCTTATTCATTCTAGTTATTTTTATGGTATTGTTTTTGTTAGATTGCTTTCCCATATAAAGAATAAAACTGTAACTGTTCTGACTTAAAATTGTCCAATTCATTTTTATCCAAGTTTTGTTAAATCTAAATCATGTTCATCAGTTCTTCTCATTCCCATCACCCTTTACTCACACTAGGAAGGCAATGTATATTGGTGGTTTAAAAACAGGTATTTGATATTCTCTGATGGACTACAATAAATATCTGAAGTAAGTACCTGCCTCATGTCTTGTGGTTTCTTGTCTGCAGAATGAAAAGTGATCTCTGTAGACCAGCAGTGTTAATCCTATGATTGTCAGCTACTGGAGAGTCATGAGGTAAAATGAATCTTTAAAATAACTTATAAGGACTTCATTCTACAGCATTCTTTTTTAAGCTACATTTTTGTGCCAGCCATATTCCCCTAAAATCTGTCAGAGAAGTGAAAAACATTGTGGAAGTGTCCAAAGTCATGGCATCTAAGGATGAATTTCATGAGTCCTTTATTTATTCTTTTGCTAAAGGTGAGATCTTTCTATATCTATACATAAAATACTTCTAAAAATTATACTTGATTGTTACTTTTACTTACTTAATAGTTCTAAGTCAATCATATTAGGACATAATTTAATGGTAGTATTTTATTGAAATTGTTGAACACTATTTTTTTTTCTTTTTTTGCATAAGACTGCCAATGATCCAGGAGTCTTAAAATGTGAATCAGTCATGGTCTTTAAGAAAGGTCCATGGGATCTGTCAAATTAGAGGGATCTCTTTCACCTTTTTAGTTTGGTTTATTCTAATTCCTTCAGTGGAGTCTAAGATTTCATAGTAGGTTTTCACACTGTCAGCACAGCCTCTTTAAAATTATTCTGTTTATTATGTTTCAAGTTTAAGGGGTTTGCTCAGAGGCCTACATTTTGCTGTCTGGCATCACTTAAAACAATTTAAGTTAGCCAAGGTATCTGCCCAGAGCCAGGAGACATGACACAGGACCTGCAGAGCCCTGCATCCTTCTAGACTGGCAATTAGTTGTCCAGATGGGATGGCCTCAAGAAGTTTGAATGAAACTAAAGGCCTCAGTTTAGGCAAGAAAACCAATGTCCTTAATTCAGGTGAGCTGAATCCCACTCTAACCTGGTCCAAACCTAGATTTGGGCAACCTAAATCTCGCCCTGAGAAGGGGTTTAGTTGCTTAAATAGAGGCACTGTTGCCATTCTGGGTATGGCAGGATTTGGTTCAGCTGCTTGTGTTCACATCTTGTAGTCCCACTGCCTTGGATTTTCTGGGATGTATTGAAGATGTATCCAGGATGTCTCTGGACACTTTTTTTGTGAGGCTCATTGAGTCATAGCTGGCATTGCACTCAAGATGTCTGTGTGTAGCTGGCAAATACGCAGAGCAGCAGGAAATCCGTGGCTTCCTGGGATAGCGGCTGGAGCACGCTAAACATCTCCAGGGACACTGCGTTACCTGCCTCTGGCCAACCACACCAGCTCTCCCAGTCAGAGGAAGTCTGACACCTTCTGGGCACATCTATCACTGAACTGAGAGAAACCAGCTCATTTTTAAAATAATTCTGTGAAGAAATTCCTTGGGTAGGGTTGGGAATGTACCCCTTTCTTTAGAGTGGGCTGCTGTGTTCCTCATCCGAGACCAAAACACTGAGTTTTCAAGGAGGAAAAAAAAACACTTTACAGTGTTCAGCCTCTGAAGAAGGCTGAAGAATGATTTCCAGCTTCTAATAATTTTGTAGCATTCTTTATCTTCTCAACACAAGACAAACCTTGCTGTGCATGTTCCTGACGAGGTAAAAACAATCACTTGTCATAGAAGAGTTTAGTGAAATCAACATTTTAAAATTCTGGTACTTCCTTGAAGAGACATTACCTGAAGGAGTGCATAGAGTCTTCTGTGAATCATGGAAAATCTATCTGACAACTAATAGTTTCTCTTAATTATTACTCCTTTCCTGTGCACCTATGAGAAGATTCTGTTAATTAATAGTGCCTTGCTTTAAATCCTGCTGGAACAGAACGAAAATGTGAATTGCTAGGGATTTGATTCTGTTAAATGTCAAAAATTTACCTGCCTATTCAAACACCACTTAATCCTTTGGTCTAGAAATACTATCACAACCATTTTCTCTGCCAGACTTCTGATATTTGTTTCATGACTGTATGAAACATTGCAAGTCTATTTTGATTCTTTTGTCTCATCAGAATGCAAATAAAATTCAAGGAGAACGGGATGTGAGAAAGTCTTTTAAAAAGTGAAAATACAACCATCTAACTGTTTGAAAACAACAGATGCTTTTATTTGAATGGCAAGTAAAGGTTCTGGTCGGTTCTTTTACAATTTAGAGATGAAGACTGAACACCAGCCTTAGCACTGAAATTATATTGATATAGTAAATTCCGAGGCTTTGCTGAATTTATTAGCACTCTCTTGGCTTAATACACTATTAAACCTAGTATTACATTTGCATCTGTGCATATCCATTTACCTGAATGTTCAGGTAGTGTCTATGGCAAACATTAATAAATCCAGACAACTGTTGATGTTAATCCAGTGAAAACTGTGGCCTAAGAAAATGTTTTCTGATGCATTGCTAAACTCAGGCATACTAGAGAGCCATCAGGTATGGATTCACAGCTAATAGAAACAATGTGCTGGTTTAGTGTACTTGCAATACAATGCAAAAAACCTCTCCTGGGATTTGCACCTGCATGAGGAATGATGTTGTCTTATAAAGAGAGGGATGATGGACCATTTTTGAGCAGCTCATGTGATGGATGATGCTCACTTCTGGCATCAGCTTCACTTGTTCACCTGGGAGGGAGCACAGGGCTGGGGAGCCCATGCAGACAGAAGCTCTGGGGACAGGGCAGTGAGGGAACGTGAGGGATTGGAGAAGAGACCAGCCTATGGCAACGAGACATCTTTGATACTTATAGTTCCTTGAAATAATTTATTCTATGAGATAAGGAGTGTGGGAGAAAGAGAAGAGTAACATGAAAGTCCAAGAGCTACAGAATAATGGAATTAAGAGGAAAGAGTCAAGCTGAGTATCAGTAAAAATATCCTTAAAGTGAAACAGATAAAGATGCCTAGTTTGGCTCCTGATTTTAAATATTGTGAAGAAGTTTCTCTTTGTTCTGGTTAATGATTTTCTTCAATAATGCATTTATTCAGTTTTGATAGAGATATTAATTAATTCACAACAACCAATAAAATTATAACTGCAGAAACTCTTCACACACTCTTTATTAGATGTTAAAAACTTCCGTCTTTCAACTGTAACCCTGACTATACTTAAACCAGCAGAGTATGCATAATACAAATGTACATGGGAGAACTATTTGTGCTATTCAGTTTATGAGGCTTCTTTAAAATACAGACTAGGTTTAAGCATCATTATACTTTCCCCCACTGGAATGAATATTAATAGATAAGTTAGAGGAGGGCAAAATAGATTTGACAAGCAAGGCAGAAAGAGCCAAAAGGACAAGGCAAGCAATGTGGAAGAGAGGAGGGAGACTGAAGAAGTCTCTAGAGGAGCAAACAGAAGTGAAATCTCTGGGCACCTCCCAGCTGAAAACAGAACTGGGACAATCCTGCAATGCAATGCAAACATGCTAGAAATTCAGACTGGATTTTTTTTTCTTTCTCCAACTGTTTTTCCCTGAAATACTGAAATATTTGAGGGACACTTCCCTGAAACAATTGCAAAGATCCTTAACCGTGCCACAGGCAGAAGTGAAAACTAAGGGATTCTAATCTAGGGCAAGCAGCTCCACTACACATTCCATGAAATGTGGAAGGAAACAAGTCTGACATTCCCTGGCTGCAAATTGAATTTACTGACACTTTTCAGGCAAAGGCAATATTCCAAGTAGTCATTTTGTTGCTCAATAAATTCCCATTCCCATTCACTTTGCTCTGTAAAACCTACCCCTACCTTGCTTCCAAATGAAATAAATCATGGAATATTAGAGAAAAGAAGAGAGAGCAATTTTGTGAAGTGCTGCTAGAGATGTGTTTTCCAGATAAAAACCGTACCAATATTGAGAGACTGACAGCAACTAAAGCAAAAATGAGCATGAGACAGGCTGTTGTGATGAGCTGACACAAATTCATCTGTCTGAACAACGCGATTAAGTATACATCACAAAAACACAACTAGCAATCCCCAGACCAAGCTAAAAAATTTAGATATAGGCGAGACTGAAACAAAAAGTACCAGTTTTTCCCTCCCTTTTCAATTTTAAGTAGAAATATACCTTTTATCTTTATGTTTGTCTGTCCTAGCACAGCCACCAGGGTATACTTCTTTCTTACCAGCAGATAGACATAGTGTAAATGAGCACTGAGCTCTGTAATCTCTCTCTATATATGTGTCATGTCCCTGATCAAATATTTTTATTTGGGGGGTTGATTTAAAAACAACAAATTCGATATTAAAACAAACGCTCTCATTGCTTTTGCAAAATCAACTTATCCCAAGATTACATGCGGAAAATGTCGGAGGAAAACAAGAAGGGATTTTTCCTCCCGTTAAAAAAACACAGCTTTTTCCTTCCTCGGGGAGGACTGTGCTTTGCCTTCACAAGCGGTATTTTTCAAAGCTTTGAGCTGAATTCTAAACCCGTGGGGTTTGGCAGAAGAGGAGAAGGAGAATCCTGCGAGAAGCAGGATCGCTGCAGCCCGGCGGGGAGGAGGCGCGGCCGCCCTGCGGTGTGACACGGAGCCGAGCAGCCCCGCAGCAGCTCTCTCTCAGCTCAGCCGGACAGCCAGGCCAAGGGCAGCAGCAGAGCCAGCAGCCCCTGCTAGCCCCGAACCCGTCAGCAGGTTTGATGCGAGCGCTGAGCACGGCGGCTCTGACCGGCACGGCACGGCCCGGCACGGCACGGCACGGCACGGCACGGCACGGCACGGCACGGCACGGCACGGCACGGCCCGGCTCGGCACAGCACGGCGGGAGGAAGCAGCTCTCCCGCAAAGGCTCTCCAGCCCGGGCAACTGCTGACCGCGGGATGGCAGCGTGGAAGGGAGTGAAAAAAAATTGCTTATAGAAACTAGGCTGGAGTGTCGCCCTGAGAATCAGGCTTTCCATATTGCTTTCTACAAGTTCTAGCCACTTTCCCGGGAAAGTAACTACAAACACAGGTGTTTATACAGTCCATTAAAGATAGGCCTTTCGATGGATGCCTCTCACACCAGTGTGGTTGGGAAG